CCTTTTCCCCCTGTAACCTCCCAGATTTTTTAACTTGGTCTAGAGGCACAAAGCATTTAGATTGGTTTATCTCCGTTGAAGAGGTCTCCGAATAGATACTGCGGTTGTCATGAATTCGCTGCTCTTGATCAACCATTACACCGAGCCGTCATAACAGGGCGAATAATGAGGACAGAGTGGAGGAAGTCTGATTGGCTTGTTTCACTTGCGGTTTAGGTCAGGTCTGATGAGGTCAAAAGCCACATTGAATGACAGGCAGGAGATTCAAATTTTAAAATGAAACCCCCACCTAAACAACAACTACAAAAATGAAATAAAAACCTCGTCCAAAAATTCAGACTTCAATTTAAAAAAGGAAGATAACCACCGGCGAGATGAGATGTCTAAGGAGAGCGGTCAACAAACCCAGACGGGGCGTGGTCAGAAACAACAAGATCAGAGAAATAGTGGGAATAACACCTGTCCTCTACTGCATTCGAAGGCAAACAATCAGGTGGTTTGGACATCTCACACGTATGACTCCTAACCTATGTGGCGTCGGTGGCCTAGTGGTTAGGCTCTCGGACTCGCAACCGTAAGGTCGTGGGTTCGAATCCCATCAGGGGCCCGACGTTGTGTCCTTGGGATGGAGAGAGAGCGAGAAAAAGAGAAAAGAAGAAAGAAAGAAAGAAAGAGATAAAGACAGAGAAGGGGGAGGGGGTGGGAAAGAGCGCGAAGGCGGCTATAAAACATTCGACAAAAGGGATACAAGGTCAAGGGATACAAGGTCAAGGACGGGGCCTCAGAGAGGTGTTGTTTCAGATCCCAATTACAAAATTGACGGCATAACGTCTGGTCTGTTTTTAGAAACACTCACTGACTGTTTGTCCAAAAAAAACCGGCACAAGTATTTTAGTCTTCGTAAGAGTTGTACGGCACTTGCAACACAATAAGGTTATATAAGCGGAGGAAGATTAGAAATTTGAGGTGTTGCAAGAGAGTAACAAACACAAAAAAGGGGGGGGGGAGATAAGGACGACAGCAGACGTTTGATAGGAAAGAAGAAGCAAACCACACCTGAGCACCAGCCAACCACCCAATCTGCAAGGTGTTTCAGATCCCAATTAAAATTGACGGCATAACATCTTGTCCGTTTTTAGAAACACTCATTTACTGTTTGTCAAATAAAAACCGCACAAGTATCGATTTCTACTTACGGATCCGGGGGAAGAGTAAATATGTGTCTCGGTGCGGTGGAATAAGGCTCTGGTCAGTTTGGGGACATGTGAAGTTGTTGGTATCTGCCTAGAGCTTGTTCATTTGTCTTGCTTTTGATGAAACAAGTACCCATTTATCTTGGATGCAAGTTGAAATGTTGGCAATTGAAGGAGGTGGGAGTCACCTGGTTTCAGAGGTTAAATTGGCGAGAAAATGGCCGCCAAAGATGAGTTATTTCCTTAGCTTGAGAGTCCGTGAAAACTAAAAATTTACATTTTTGTGTGCCTTTAATCAACGTTTTTCCAGTAAAATCCAGACAGAAATGGGTTCTTTAACGGCAATGAAAGGTGTTGAACCAAAAAATGAAAATTCTTTAAAAATTCACAAGCCTGCAGAAAAATTCCCATTTTCTTAAGATTGATTATTTTACGAGCGCCTGTTTTCACCACGCTGCCTCACATGCGACACATCCGAAGCACACAGAACACTAATGGTTCTTCGGCGGAATATGCCCTCACGCTATTTCGATTTTCTTGAATCGATTTGAAGTATTGTGGCGAAAAAACAAAAAAGCCCCCCCCCCAGCGAGTTATTGTGCACACACGACCCCCCCCCCCCACGAACTCGCGAACTCGAAAAAAGCAACCACGTGTCTTTAATTTAACACACAACGCCAAACACAAATGTAGAAAGGAGTTTTATCCCCCCCACCCCCCCACCTTTTCCCCCAACCCTCTGTTTCTTCCATTCTGTATCCCCATCATACCATCCCCTTTCGTTCAAGGTTTGTGTTTGTTCATCACTGTTTACAACTCGCTAAAAAGAATTAGACCAAGGTTTTCGGTTGTTTGTCGTTTTTTAAAGGATAGACCAGGGCCTGAAATATTATAGGGGCGTAAATCGTTATTGTTTCTTTGTTTTAAGCCCCTTTTGACGCAATGTAAAACGATTCATGATCGAGCCGGCTGATTCGGCGCTGCCTCCACGGGCCTTTCCACACAGGGTGGAATTTGGACCCAAAATGAAGGAGCGAGGTACTTAATAATGTTAGCTTACCCACGTGGGAATCGAACTGTTGTCTTTTGAAAGCGAAGCGAAGACAGTGCATATTATTATCGCTGTTAGAGCATAGACGCTTAGATGTAAATCGTGGGGTTGCGGGTTCAGGTGTTCGAGCCGCGGGCCCGACGTTGCGTCCTTGGAAAAGGCATTTTACACCAATTATCCCCACTTTACCCAGGTGCGAATGGGTACCCGGCTATAGACAGTGAAAGATCTTGTCAGTTTGTTAGTGTTTGA